TCTCTCATTTGTTGGATAGCTAACTCTATTTCTGTCTTCACTTCAGCTCTAATTTCTTCACGTTGTTTGGCTAGAGCTTCTTGAAGTATTTGAGCAAATTGATCAGAGGTGATCGTGAGTACTTCTCTTGTTTGTCCCGTGTGAGACATTGTATCATCGGAAGCGATTGCAGAATAAGTGTCCGAGAATTCATCCTCCGATGACATTCCTTCTTGCATTCTCTTGTAATTTCTGCGTCTGATGGCTCCTAATTGGAGTCGAGACATCCTTTGAGCAATTCTTGGATTGACTCTTCCTCTCGGGGAAAAGTCAGGATTTGAGTCACTTGAATGCCGCTTAGACTTTCTTTTATCAGCCACGTTAATGGTGACTTCAGGGAATTCATCATCTTGAATAGCTGATCTTATAAGTCGTGCACATGAACAATGAGAGCGAATAATTCTTTTTCGAAATTTATTCACACCCCCAACTTGATAATACGATTCATCGGTATGATTGCCAAAAAATCGTATCGTTTGTTGGCATGACCTCCCAGGTATGACGATGTCTTTTGGTGAATGCGTCTTCTTCTGAGGGTGTAAAACCTTGTTGGCATTCTCAGGACAATTTATTGTTGCCTTTGAACGATCCAATGTTATATCGGGAGTCGCACGTTTAGAACCACCCCTTGTGGGTATGGAGTCTTAACGGGCTCCGAATGCTGATTTTGCACAACTCCAGATTTTGGAATCCAAACTTGGTAGAGTTTTGGTGGTTCTTTGGTCATCGTTTCCTTCTTCCTTTATCGTCTTTGTTGTAAGAGAGTACGGGCATGAGCAGCGTTTGCACGACATTTTTGTATGCGTTCTTTGAGGGTCGAACGAGTCCTTCTAACAGTAGCCCATTCCTTCGTCGTGAGTTTAGCAGAGACATGAATGATTGGTTGTTGAGACAACTGAACCACTCGATGCCTCATCGACTCTAAGTCCGCATGATAACGAACCCCGTCGGTTTGTTCCAACGCTTTAGCCATTTGGCGAGCGCGGCGCTGACGTTGTCTCTGACGAGCTCTCTTCGTCACTGCTGGTGGGCTTTGATTCGATGACTCTTTAACTAGATAAGAGTCATTATAAGCAGAGGTGTTACGAGTAAAATCCTCAGCAACAATCAGGCGAGAGTTTTCATTTTGTGCCTTCTTTGGCATGGAAGTCTTCTTCAGTGGTGAGATCCTCTTGTACTTGCGAGACAATCAAGATCTTGAAGAGGATGATGAGAGATATTCCTCAAACTTGGTTTGGTCGAATTCGTATTCGACCATGGATTCAACTGGAATCTTGATCGGCTGCGACACGACGGTCTCGGCAGCGAGACCGTTGGCTCCCACTGTGGTCGCCAGCTTGTTTGCGTCAAAAGTTGACTTTGTCATGGAATTCATTATATCTTCGGTCGATTACAACAAATTCAAAAGAGATAGTCTTTTTATAAGACTTCTTTTACACAACAAAATAAAAATTATAACTCTTGAGAAACAAACGCAGGATCGTTGTTTGGATCGCTGCTTGCGTGGGATCTTTGCCTGTGCCGGGAGCGCTTTGACTCGTGGACCACCAAATCACAGATTCTGATTGAATCGTGAGGGGTTTATGATTCTGACTTCGTTTATCGAAGTGAGAACTTGAAACGATATCTTATCAAGGTAAGATAGTCGTTCTTCTTGAAATCAAGTCAAAGCCTGAATATCAAGGAGTTGCCAGAAACTCAAGAACTCTGCTCTTTCTCTGCTCTGAAGTGCTCAAAATGATTAGCCCTCGTCAGAAATGACCCTAGGGGGGTATTTATAGCCTCTGGGGTAATAACTGCACAAAACTCAAACAAACGAAGAAGTTAGCTGGCGAGACAGTGTTTACTGTCTCGCTGGTCGAGACAGTGTTTACTGTCTCGCCCAGCGAGACAGTAAATTTGCTGTCTCGCCCAGCGAGACAGTAAATACTGTCTTAGAAAACGAATATTCCTGACAGTTTCTCGCTGTAACTGCCTTCCCACGTTTTAAACTCCGTTATTCTGGTGGTTATCAACGTGATTCTCGCCCACGACATTCCCCACGTTCTTGAACAGTTGGTGGCCACGTATCGGCGGTTATAAAGTGGTTTCTAACTTCTTTGAAAACTATCTCATGGGCGAGACAGAGAATGATGTCTCGCGGGCGAGATAGAGAATGCTGTCTCGCGGGCGAGGACAGTAAAGACTGTCTCGCATGCGAGACATCCCAAACTTGTGTTCTTCTGCCTTTTTGGATGATTTCCTCTTGAGCTGTATTTGGAGATCTTTCAGCATTTTTTGACGCCTACACTGGTTCATAAAAATGTTTTAACGGGGACTCTTTTGCATTATACCATTCACAGTCCCTAATGAAACTTTTTCTGCTTCGTAATTTTTGTAATGCAACTGGCAGAATTTCCATTGTGCAATTGTAAGCGAAAAGTGATAGCTCCTAGTTGTGCACTTGCTTGTCTTCCCATTTATATGTGGTTCTTTTTAGATGCAAGTGTTTTTTGGAACATGGTTATTGTACATTTCGTTCTCTGTCTGCATATCGTAACTATACTTTTCTTAATGAATAATTTTGTTATTTTCAATAAACTCAGTTTGACTATTCATAGTAATGTGTCTCCTCCTGTTCAATGTGTTCAGGTTATTGTGGTGGATAACTTCTTTACGGGTTCAAAAGATAACCTAAGGAAATGGATTGGTCATCCAAGGTTCGAGCTCATTCGACATGGTAACATCACATCCTTAAGTCTGAAGATGTGGATTATTATATCCGTATTACTTATGACTTATGAGAATATGGAATTTTTATACCTGATTGAAATAAGCATGTAGCTTCCGTTGAAAACTGTGGTTGTCTTAATTGTCATGAAAGCTTGCAAATGGAATAACTATATTCATATGCATCATACATCAGATAAGTTCATTTGACCGAGATCACTGTGGTACTGGAGTTGTAGACCTGTTGTTGTGGTATCCCTTCGCCACATTGAGACAAGAAAGTTATACTATGTAAGATAACAAGGCACTAAGTAATAGAGCTGGGTAGGCTACTATTAATGGTATACACATATGGATACTGTCAACCCAAATTTAAAATTTGGATTCTGAAACTGAAATTTACAACTACAAACAAGTGGTCGGGTAATTGATCTTGTTCTTCTGATCTATCATCTTTCTGCTATTCTAGTTTTTCATCGCTTTTTTCGGAAACGGTTATGTAATATGAGACATTTCTACTTTCTACTTTTCTAGACTTGTTTTCTTTATAGAATAACCGAAAAAAACCCGATATAAACCAGAGAAAAACCGAACCAAACTAAACCGAACACAATTGGTTTTTTTAAAAAATAGTGAAAAACCAAACCGAACCAAACCGAAAAAATAGATCGGTTTGGTGTTCGGTGTCACCTATTAACCGCATCATTCAAACCGATTAACAGCCCTAACTCTTAGTGTGCCTCTGGAATTTGGGCGGTCGACCGGACGATTTTGAGCTGCTGAAAGGGGATTTCTAGGGCTTCTTTTGTTGGAGTCTATTGGAGAGATCAATTGATTTTGTTTGAGGGTTTTGGGTAAGATTTGTAACCCTAATTTGTATTCCCCTTTGATTTGATTAGTGAAACTCCCCTCTCCTTGCCCCGTGGACGTAGGCACATTGCCGAACCACGTATATCTTGTGTTCTTGCTGTGATTGGTTGGCTTGTGTCTATTGTGGTCTATTTTGTTCTTGTATGTGCTATTGTTTTGGCTATTCGAGGCTTCCGCGGCGCACAACAGTTTTTGCAAGTCTTGACATTATGGCCGTGACTTGAGGATTTTTTGCAAATCAAAATCCTAGCATCTCTAGTTGATTGAATTTAGAATAGGGGAATTAACTCGCTATCATCACCAAACTATTGTTTTGAAGTGAGCCACATAATAGTTTTTTTCGTTGTGTGACGCATTCACATGTTAATTAAAGGCTAATTAAATTACCATATTGATACTAAAAATAGACCGCTTTTACATGTTTGGTATTCAAAATAAACATGATGTCTTTTTGATATTTAAAGCTTGGTAAATGCGCTATGAGTGTCAAATCTCTCGTCGGTGGTGAAATTTTTCTAGGGAGAACTATAATTTTATGCCGGGAGAATTTCCTAGCAAAAAAACTATAGTTATTACAAAAAAAAAATTCACCGCTAACAAGATTTGGTCTTCAATTGCATGCGCATGTGCCAAGTTTTAAATACAAAAATGACGCCGAAGTTATTTTAAATACCGAACAATTAAAAGTGGTCATGCCAATTTAATTATTTAGTACACTAAACTCCTGAAAGCTTTCAGCATTTTATAGTAAACGCCCAATAACTCCAATGACTTTCGTAGAAAACCCCCAATGCGTTTTGGGTAAATTACGCTAAACTCCAATACCTTTCAACATGCACTTTTGTATTGTAAAGATTCAGGGACCAATATCATTTAATTTTTAGACCGTCCGGTGGTGAACTCAGACTTCTACATCTCACTGCACCGTTGATTTTCGCGCGCGAGTGAAGTGTGAGATTCCAGCAGAAGCATTATATTATCACGAGCTTGTGCTCCGTGAAAAGCCTCTGAAACTTTTGCACAGTGCATCAGAACGCAGTGGAATGCCTGAACTTCTTTGGCTCGCTATTTATTAAACGGGTCGGGTCGGATCACACTTATACGAGTCAGGTCAAATTTTTATATGGACCGGGTCGGATCGGGTCGACCCATTTGCCACCCTACTTGTAATTATTGTGAAATAGATAAAGGACAAAAAAAGACAATAATGATAATATCTACACTTCCATTTACACATTTATTTGGAGACCATGCTATCCATTTGCCAACCAACCCCAAATGTGATGGATCTCTTCGCTTCCTTGTTTCAGCCATTTATTTGGTTATTTCAGGAAAAGCATTTCTGAGATTTAAGAACCACATAGCATATACACACAAAAAGCTGAAGGAAACCGAATACCATCTTAACATTATTTACAACAACACGGATATACAATGGAAGGCATGCATATAAACTAAGATTCAATTTCTCAGCAGACGCGTAAAAACCAAGCTGTAAATATTGCAACTCTCAGTTCTAGACTCATTTCCTTCGTCTTTCAGCTGTTTACAAAAAATGCTTCAAACAATCCTTTGATACCATTCGAGCTTGCGCTGGTAATTTTGGTGTTAACCTCTTCTGTCCCTGTTGGTGATAGCCACCTATCTCATTCCCTATAACGACACAGACATGCGCATGCTTATTAGAGGGCATTAGATATTGATCATTTAACAAAAATCTGAAGAAGATCAAGAAATTGAAGCCGTATACAAGGATTTCCTTTGCTCTTTTGTCTCCTCGTTGTTCATAATAGAGAGAGCACAAGTTCAAAACAACTTACAGATCATGAACTACACGATAGCAAGAGAAAAATGGAATCTCAGTTCGATCACAAAAGGTGACAAAAATCTCGTATTAGGAAAAAAAACCTTTGGAGCCAAAAAACAAGTTTACACCAAAGGGCTACTACTCACTGGGTGATTTAGTAACTCATAAGCAGGACTGATCAAAGTTTTGATCAAGGCTAATACTAACTAGTAACTAGACTACAAATAACGTGACTACGAGTTGGTACTGCTACTCATTGTTTTAAAAGCCTTGCTCTTTAAAACGATGCCGGTACTACACTTTGATGAAGTGGAATAATGTGGCATGCTGATATAGACATCATAAATGTTGAGGCGGGCATCTTTAACTGAGAAAAAGAAAAGAAATTCATTTCCCCAAAAGAAACTCTTCGCCTCACTCTGCTCTCTCTACCATTCGGTCCATTCCCTTTACAATCCAACTCATCAAAATATTCATTCAAATGGAAGCCCTCCAAGAAAAGTAGACTACAAAATTCCTTTGCTTCTCTCCTTTCACTGTGATACCGAATAGAAGGGAAACAATCTCTCCAAATTTAGTTAAAATCTATTGAATTCATCAAATATTTAGAGAATACTACAAGAGAAGAGGAAGTACTTTGTTGAGGTCTAAAATTTCCTCTTACTACCTATTTTGTTAGGAAATTGGTCCAAAGTCCAAATGATGTTATGAGGAATATTTTCTTCAATTGTAATTTGAAAGAGTTGTTTGTCATATGTTCACAGGTCTCAAAGTTAGAAAACCTCTCTTTCTTTCCCTCTGGGCATTTTTTTTTCAAGTTCCGGTGGGATCAGACTTTTTTTTTTTGGCTGGGGTTAGGGATGAAGAATATGGTGTAGGCACCTCTATATGACTATATGAGGGCCTGACTTTTATAACTTAAATCAGCACACAGCCATTCTCAAGGTACTTTCATGCACATTGCACATGCCAAAAACCAATATTGTGTGTGTGCATGGCTTGCTCGAGTGCATGTGTGCATGTGGAAGAAAGTGAAAGGATGATCCACCTGAAGCTCTTACAATCGCAGTGCCTTAAATTTATCTTTATTTTGCTTGCCAAGCTCCAATACATATGTTTGTGGAAAAATTTGTAATAAAAAGACGGTGAAAGAAAATTGACTTGTATTCTCTCAGAATCGATTATAATTTGGATTTCCTGATTACAAAAGAGAGGAGAATAAATTTGATTCTCCCCTTTGTTTAAAACTGGGTTCTTCACGGTGGCGATGGAGTGCCTCCCTCGAATGCTCGCGTCGAGTTTGCTCTTCGTTGACGATCCGATGTTTTGCTTCACTGGAACGATGTCTTCTTCTCACGATTCGACGCTGTGGAGAACTTGCGTGGCAAGTTTGAGAACTCTGAACGAGTTTAGAATAACTCTGTGAAAGAGTTGATTTGAACCGAAGATCGGTTAATAAGCCAAGGCTAGAAGAAAGCTCTGGTGGTCGATCGTTGCTGAGGATGAACGTCGATCTCCCCCTTGCTGCCAAGTCAAAAGATCTCCTCTTCGCTGCTGAAAAGAGGATCAATTCGAGCCAAGAAGCTCCAACCTCGCTGCCCAGTCTCAGATCCAAAAAGCCAGCCGAAAAAGCCTTGAACTCCGGACCAAAGAAGCCAACCCCGAACTCGGTTGAGTTTACTCGCTTTTATAGGGGATTAAGGGGGTGTAACCGCCCCTTAAATCACTCCTAAGTGGGGTGTAACCGTCCACAAATCATGGGAACCGGTTTTGGAACCGTTCAGCTCGTGCTTTGAACGAGTCAAACGCTAAAAAATAACGTTCAGGGCCCTAACTCCGCGTTTTAGACTGGAGACGCGGAGTTAGGCACCCGCTGGTTGTTGAAAAACGCGAGGGCCGCCCGTGTTTTAGAGTTTGAAGGCTGGAAACACGGGGGTCGCTTGCGTTTCGTTTAATGAAGGTTGGAAACGCGAGGGTCGCTCGTGTTTTGCTTGTTGAAGCTTGGAAACGTGGGGGTCACCTGCGTTTCAGGAATTAAAACACGGAGATGACTTTCGCGTTTAGAAGGGGCTAGTTGACTTGTAGCCTCTTCTGTAGAGCGTTGCAAAGACTATTATCTTGTAATCTTCATCTTGGCTCCTTAAAAATATGAGAGTCGTCAGATTGTAACTCCCGATGTTGATTATGAAGACTGTTGATTAGAGATTTTATCAGTTGTTGTGAAGGTCGTTAGATTGTAACCTTCATCGATCTATGTGAAAGTCTTCAAATTATAACCTTCTGGAAGTCGTCAGATTATAACTTTCATCATCGGTGTTTGATGGGGGATCAGTTATCTATTTTGATTTTTAGACAGCCTACAACATACACTACTAGGCAATCTAAAAGCTCTCACATCCATCTTTTGTCAGCACCTCCCACTTTTTCCCACTTCATACAAAAGTTTGCTTCGTCGTTATTATATATCATTCTTACCAGATATACCATATGTCACACTCACATGAGTCTGATAGAGGAATTACTCCAATTGCATGGAAATATGGCATGTAAAAATATATAAGAAAAGTAATTTTTAGTGAAGTGACATATGAAATAAAACCCCTAGGACAAATAAAGAACAGTAAGGGCCCGTTTGGACGCAATTTTTGGAGGGTGAAAGCCTGCAAAAGTTCTAAAAAAGTCAGAACTTTTACAGGCTTTCCCCCTCCAAATAATGCAAACAAACGGGCCCTAACTGTTGCACTCTCAATCCTCATCCCTCGAAACGCACAACAGATAATCATAGAACAAATAGAGAATCTTTGAGATTTCCATGCTAATCAAAACGTATGAACTATTAAGAGCTTGTCCCATTAATAAACAACTTCGAAAAATTGATTATAAACAATTTGCACAAATGTACCATTTTCCAAAAAATTATGTTAAGTGATTTCTAATGACTCCAATTTCATTTAATTCAGGAAAGTTTCACAAAAATCTCGCTAAACTCTTTCATGGGGTTTGTAAGCCCCCTAAACTCTATAAATCAGAGAAAACCCTTGAAGTTCAAAATTATACTAAACCCCAGAACTATGTGAGAATCAATAAACATAGCCCACAACTACGTACCTCAAGCAGGTTTAGTTTTTTCTTTTCTTTTTCCTTTTTTTACCCCCTTTCGGGGTGGCGTTTTC